AAAAGGGGACCGTGGAGTCTCCAGGACGTAACAGTGTTTTAGGTCAAGGACTTACTTTTCGATGTTTCAATCACGGTCGCCAGTTGCTGCTTTCCCTCAGCAACAAGGGATGACGCCCTTCTTCCTTCAACGGGGATGATTCAGCCCTCAGGATCTCGGGATCAGGTAGGATTATACGCACGCACTCACGCACGCAATAACGCACTTTGCTTAGTATATAAAATAAAATAATTTATTGCCACGGTTTTCGTGGGATACACTGTACCAAACACTAGCACTACGTGTAATTATGTAACACAAATGAATAACGCTAGATAATTTATGCGCGTTAACAATGAGTCGAGAAACTTGTTTTTCGTACGATCTTTGGATTTTACGTCCGTCCCGCACGAGTTTCCTAATGCGATTGCTAGCCAAGATGGCTGTTCCTTCTTCCTCGGCTTTAAAGGCATTGCTCACACTACCGCGTGTAGGCCGTGCCTTTAGGTTCGTTCAACCAAAGAAGAGAATTTCTTCAAAACGGGAAACTCCATACAAGCGCGAATTAAGCGGAATTTATGCCATTTCTAAATGCTCCCCGAATAGGAAAATAAGGTTTTTGCCGAATGATTTGTTAAATTAACAAATTATTCAAATTGACCGGATAAGGAAAAATTTTGTTATATACACAGCTCACACTTTTAGGATATAACCGAATTTTTCCTTAGTTGTAACTTTTATTAAAATTCTTAAATTTGTCGATTAACCATTTTATTTATAGTAGAACTATTTGTAACACCTTATTGCACCTTATTATCCTATTTTTAGGTCTTAACCAGCTCTTTCAATTTTCGATACTTTTTAACACAACAGAGACTTATTTTCACGCTTAGGTCGCCTCCGCGTTAACCTTAACCTAAAACAAAATCGACGCTAGTTAGTTACTGTCGCGAACTAAAACAACCCAATAAACAAGTAAAAATAATCCAAACGCTTGGGCAGCACAAATAAAAACACTTAAACTTTTTACTAGTAACAAAACTTAACCTCTAGCGTCCAACACTAATAAAACGGTAAGTAAAAACCAAAATAATAAAAAAGAACGTTTAAGCCTCGCACTGGGCTTCTACCTCTTCTACACCCTTAACGCAGTATTTTACGAGTAAAAGGTTTCTTTAACTACGCTCTTTCACTTTTTCTCTAACCTACACACTAGTGACAATAATTCCTGTTCTTCAAGACTGTTAATTTATTGCCTATAAATAGTAAACACACAACACGCGAACCCTTGGCTAGTTTAACTTTTTACCCTAGTCTTAGGCTCGCACGCAGGTAAGTACGCTTTTAAAGTAAATAACACTTATTACAGAGTTTAATCAACTCTCTTTTCTTTTTCAGGAACTGGCTCTTACTGGTACTTCGTCCAGAACCTCGTTCAGGATCCGCTCCGCCCAGTTCGTCGCCTCCTTCCGGAGCCTTGCCTTTTCTTGTTGCAGCTGGGCGTTGACTAGGATGTCTCTGAGTGACGTCCGGCTTCCTGTGATTTCACGCCATGCCACCAGACGCATGCCTGGCTCTGGCTCTGGTGACTTTGTCAACTAGCAGATATTTCCACAGGCCTAATTCGAGCAGATAAAGATGGCCTGGGAACAATTTGGGTACGTTGCCCTTTGGAAGTAGCCGAAAAAGTGGCAGATAAGGGTCGATTGAAGGTGGGNTGGTCGTCGGCCAGAGTAATCCTCCTACCCCAAAGGCTACTACAATGCTATAAGTGCATGGAATACGGGCATGTACGCCAAGTGTGTCGCAGTANTGAAGATCGCAGCTTGTCCTGCTATAGGTGTGGTGAAAGCGGACATCAAGCCAGGAAATGCAATAATAAAGTACACTGTGTACTATGTGCATCTCGCGGAATGAGTGCTAACCACCGAATAGGAGGACTGGCATGCCTCTCCAAAGAAAGGAGGAATATAGGTCGAAAACCCCTGGAACGGAGGCCAGGAGAGCAGACACAAGAGGGGAGAGAAAGAGAGAGAGAGGTAAATACACAAGAGTCTGCGCAGATGGAGGTTGACCAGGATGGATCTAATCTTACAACTTAATGTCAACCACTCGGGGCCGGCACAAGACTTGCTGATACATAATATGAGGGAGAAAGGTGCGGGGCTGGCAGCAATTTCCGAGCCTTACCGGATTCCAGATTCACCAAACTGGATATCGGACACGGACAATGTGGCAGCGTTAACATGGCTCCCTAATGGCAGCCGGGCAGTAACGGAAGTATATGAGCGCGGAAAAGAATTTGTCGCAGTCCGGTGGGAAGAAATAACGGTATACAGCTGTTACTTCTCACCGAACCAAGATCGAGAAATGTTGGAAGACGCGCTGGACAGGCTAACTGTAAGTATTCGACACGCTGGCAGTGGGCCTATCCTAGTGTTAGGAGATTTTAATGCGTGGTCGATACAATGGGGATCCACAAACACCAACGTGCGAGGAAAAGCAGTGGAGNTATGGGCGGCTGCAAGTGGATTGTTTTTGCTCAACACGGGTCAATGTTACACATGCGTACGGCCGCAGGGACGATCAATAATCGATCTATCCTGGGCCTCGATAAAAATGCTACCCCTGGTGCAAAAGTGGANTGTGTTAACCAGCGAAGAATCACTGTCTGATCACAGATATGTGGTTTTAAAAATAAAAGAAATAACANGTATAAAAGGCTGGAAAAGAGGCATGAGTTTCCCGCGATGGAAACTAGAGAAAATGGATGAAGACCTGTTTGATGCGACAATATTAGGCTACACGTGGAACNAAACAGAAATCGAAGACTGGGACGCGGAGAAATCTGCACTTTGGATAACTAAAATCGCAAGAGACGCGTGCGATAACTCGATGCCGAGAAGCCAAGGTTTACATATAAAGAAACAAGCATATTGGTGGTCGGACAGCATTAACAAGCTACGAGATAATTGTAACCGGCTGAGACGAGTGTATACGAGGGCGCGCAAACGACGGCGTAACTCAATGNAAATAATTGAAAGACTCAGGGTAGAACTAAGGGACGCACAACGAGCCCTCAANAGATCTATTGTGGTGGCAAAAAAGGCTGCTTGGCAGGAGTTACAACAAACAATGGATCGTGACCCTTGGGGTACGCCGTATAAGTTGGTGTTGTCAAAACTGCGAACTATGGGACCCCCGATCACCGAGGTCTTATCGGTGGAGAAAATTTTAAGTATTGTATCCACCCTCTTCCCCACAAGGGGGGAGGAAAGGGATGCATGGAATGAACAAGGACATTCCTCTCGGAGGCTCGTTAAAGAGGCTACCACAACTCCCCTTCCCATAGGGGAAGGAGGGGGAGCCCCGAATACCCGCGAACGCATCTCATGGAAAACAGAGTATAACATTGATATGAATGAATTACGTAATGCGGTAAAGAAAATAACCGAAAAAAGAACAGCCCCAGGACTGGACGGTCTCTCATGCCGCATATGGACCAAAATTGCGGCAGTAGCACCTAAAACGATACTATGGTGCTTCAATACTTGTTTGCGTAAGGGCCAGTTCCCGACAATATGGAAGCGAAGCAGACTAGTTTTGGTCCCGAAGCCGGGGCGCTCGGGGAGCGACCCATCAGCATTCCGTCCTCTATGTTTGTTGGATGATCTTGGGAAACTCCTCGAGCGTATCTTGGTTGGACGTATTGAGATCTATTTTGAGAAAAATGGAGGTATTTCGGCAAGGCAGTTCGGCTTTCGACCCATGAAATTCACATGCGATGCAATCATGAACATGCAAAATATAATTGGAGAACATCTAGCGCAAAACAAAACATGTGTGGCTGTGAGCTTAGATATAAAAAATGCGTTTAACACAATATCGTGGAAAACAACTATAACGGCCCTCCGAGGAAAAGGATTTCCAAAATATCTAATATCAATACTTAAAGATTATTTTCGAAATAGGTTTGTAGTAATCCCTTGCAATGATGGGAAAATTAGGTTGCATCGGATGACATGCGGAGTACCCCAGGGCTCCGTACTGGGCCCGTTGTTATGGGATGTAGCGTATGACGAAGCACTGAATGTCCAGCTCCCACCATTGTGTACAACCATCGGTTACGCCGATGATACCTTGGTGTTGACGGCCGCTGCGGAGGACTACGAAGCTGCGTCTAAAGCTACGTTAGCGGTGGCAATAATATCGGAAAAAATAAATACCATGGGCCTTGAGCTGGCGCCGCGAAAACTGATGCTATGGTGTTTAGGCCACGCGGTAAAACAGGAAGGCAACTAAGCATAAGAATAGACAGTACGTGGATTGAAACGAACCCAAACTTCAAATATTTGGGATTAATAATTGATGACAGATGGACGTTTGCTGAACACTTTAGGTACACGGCACAGAAAGCGATAAAAGTGGCTTCTACATTAGCACGCCTATTACCAAACGTGGGAGGGCCAAGTGAACACACGAGAAGATTATACTCGGCAATGGTCCATTCAATTATGATGTATGGTGCGCCTATCTGGTACCCTAAATTAAAGGGAAAAGTAGCCACTCCAATTACAGCGGCGCAAAAATTAATATCAATTCGGTTAATAAGAGCGTATCGCACAACTTCATTGGAGGCAGCAAGAATGTTGGCTGGAGTCCCACCGGCAGAATTAATGGCCGGCCAACAGGCATTCGTATTCCACACCCTNAGAGAGGCACGCAATATGGATCGAAGAACAACAATGGATAAAACAACAATACGAGAGGAAGCAAAAAACGCGATGGTACATGCATGGAAGGAAAAAGTCTCAGATCCCTTCTTGGCTGGACAACNAACGCGAGAGGCAATTGCCCCGGTATTGCGTCATTGGATGGAAAGAAAACACGGAGAACTAAGTTACCACATGACCCAGGTACTAACAGGCCATGGGGTCTTCGGGAGATATTTATTCCGGATAGNAAAGGTACACACGCCATACTGTGAACACTGTGGAGATGAGAACGAGGAAGATGACGCCCAGCATACTTTGGAACGCTGCCCGGTATGGGAGGCGGAAAGAANGGCACTTAGGGCGGTAATAGGCGACGATCTCTCTCCCCCTGCGCTGGNGAGACAGATGTTAACGCACAAAGATCGTTGGCGAGCAGTCAAGACATTCTGCGGAAAAGTCATGCGTATTAAGGAGGACACAGAGCGAGTCCGACAAAACCAGCCGATGAGGGGGACAGGGGGGAGACATGGACATTAGCTCAGGCTAACTGCCCCCTCCCCCCTTTCTTTACACCTTCCCACCTCCCACACATATAAACAGAGTCTCTCTCTGCTCTNCCTTTCTTCTCTCTGGAGGAGAGAGGGGGGAGAGGCAGAAACGAGGCTATGGGGGTGAAGTGGGGGCTTCACCCTTCGTCATATACAGTCTCGGCGGAAAGGGTGGGCCATCACGGTGGTCCCTGGTGGCCCACCAACTACGGAGGTTCGGTAACAAGAACTTATCGTCGAATGCCCTGGAGGGGGAGTCGAGAAGGAATAGTCGCATGACTTGCCAGGCTCCCCCCTCGCATAGGGCGGAAGGAGGACCACCTAGGGGTTTTAGTGGGTTCAAGTCCCACACTACTCCGACTTCCCCTCCCCCAAGGAGGGGCCGGGGCGTGCGAAGGCATTTCCCCTAGTCAAAAAAAAAAAAAAAAAAAAGATACAGGACCGCGAACCAGACGACGCATTATAAACAAATCTAACCGGACGACATATGATACCGCTTTTTAGCGCTTTAGTTATGCTGTAAGAGAGCCGAAGTTCTCAAAGAGAGAGAGAAAGAGAGAGAGAGAGAGAGAGAGAGAAATAAAACAAACACTGCTGACTGTCGGGTTTTTTAAATTATGCAACTATTTTAAACTGCTGTGATCCGTGATCACCTGAAACCGATACCCTTCGAGATATGGTCAAAATTTTTTTATCGACCAGATAACTGCTAGACACTCTTGTTCCGTCGTGGAGTATTTTCTCTCCGCGTCTGTGAGTGCGCGACTCGCGAATGCAATGACGTGTTCTCCGTCGTCATGCTTCTGCGACAACACTGCGCCCAAACC